GATCTGCTGGCCCCTCCCGCCAGCCATGATCTGCCGGCCCCTCCCGCCAGCCATGATCTGCCGGCCCCTCCCGCCAGCCATGATCTGCATGAATTGCATACAGAAGCACAGGGACCCAGAGATGACATCACTGAGACTATAATAAGGTGTGGAATGAAGACAAAAAGGTTTTATCAGCATGTTGATTGGGTGGGGAGGGGTATGGGGGTATTTTGGGAGGGGGGGTTATTGGGGGATGGGGGCATCTTTTACCGTCCTCACATCTATTTAAAAAGCTTTCACGTGGAATGCGTCTAGTACGTGGGGGGAAAGGTGAACGGACTCACCTGCAGGGAGGAGAAGAGTCTTCCCTGGTACTTGCCGATTACCGTGTAGCCGCCTTCCACAGTCCGGTCTTCGAACCAGGCCACGGGGGTCAGGAAGTCTCTGGGGTTGGCCAGTCCGTTGGCCCCTATGGGGAGACATAACGGGTCTGTGACCTCGGGGTGACACCATGGAGATTTGCCTGTAGCGCCCCTTTTATTATTGACCTCTTCCTTCCCACTTTCATGGGTGACCTCGGAAGCTCCTCCTACATTCACACCGTGCGATTGCGGGTACAAAACGAATGCTAATAGAATATTCCCTTTGCAGGTCGAATGTAATATCAGAATATGGCCACCGGATGGCGCTGAGAGGAAAGGCAAGAGCTATTTATTGCCTGTGCTCCTCATCGCCATCTAGTGGCCACAGGGGTTCAAGGTTAATTCAGGGGGTATGGTATGCAGACATACATGCAGGGGAGGGGGTATGGTATGCAGACATACATGCAGGGGAGTGGATATGGTATGCAGACATACATGCAAGGTAGGGGAAGGGGATATGGTATGCAGACACACATGCAGGGGAGGGGGTATGGTATGCAGACATACATGCAGGGGAGTGGATATGGTATGCACACATACATACTGTATAGTGTGACGTGTCAGGAACTTGCAGGCTGAAAGGTTTGTATGAAGCAGGGAGGCTGAGGGCCGGGTCACACCCACTCTGGTACGATTCGCTGGTGGAACGCACTGGAGCACATCCTGCGTTCAGGGGGTGGGCGGGGGCATGGCGGTTCATTGAAGTCAATGGCAACGCACCAGGAGGCGTGTCACATCAGTGCCTGCGTTCCGGTCCAGTGTGATCCGAGAAGACAAAGCATGCAGAATTTTTTCAGATCACACTAAACCGGAACGCAGGCACTGATATCCCACGCCTCCTGGTGCGCGCGATCGCAGTGTGGGTGCGAGGCGCGGTGCCATTGACTTCAATGCATCGCCACGCCCTCTCCCGCCCCTAGACGCAGAATGTCAGCCGGGATGCGCTCCAGGCTGTGCGTTCAAGCAGCGAATCGCGTTGGAGCGCACCGGAGCTGGTGTGAACTGGCATTGAAATCCGGAGCTCCCTCTAGTGGCCGATCTACAAACCTCAGTAAGAAACATATGGAAGAGCGAACGTTCCCTTTAACGGTAATGAGATTTTCTTACCGATTGGCCCCAGATCAGGGAGCTCAAAGTGGACGCCGAACACCTCAAGGACGTAACCCCTGGAGTCTCCGAAGACCTCCACACTGAAGCGCATGCCTTGCTGTGGGGGATGGGGACACAGAATGCAGAAAACAGGTGAGATTCAGGTATGGAGGAGGGGACAGAGGACCCCACACACAGCTATGGTGTTATCGGTCATATTATCACCTGAATAACGCAGATATCATTGGGCTCCACCAAAATCTTCCCAAATTCGGTGAGGACGAGGATCTTCCCCTGCTGAGGAACTGTTGGGGGGGGGACAGGACATTTGGGGGTTCATTATTTATTCATGAGAATATGTCTTCAGCAATGGTACATGGTATGTTAAGGTAAGGTATGGTATGGCAATGTATGGTGAGGTATGGTAAGGTATGGTATGGTATGGTATGGTAAGGTATGGTAAGGTAAGACAAGGTATGGTATGGTAAGGTATAGTAAGGTATGGTATGGTAAGGTATGGTATGGTAAGGTATGGTATGGTATGGTATGGTAAGGTAAGGTATAGTAAGGTATGGTATGGTAAGGTATAGTAAGGTATGGTATGGTAAGGTATGGTAAGGTATGGTAAGGTATGGTATGGTAAGGTATGGTAAGGTAAGACAAGGTATGGTAAGGTAAGGTATGGTATGGTATGGTAAGGTATGGTAAGGTAAGACAAGGTATGGTAAGACATGGTATGGTATGGTATGGTAAGGTAAGGTATAGTAAGGTATGGTATGGTAAGGTATGGTAAGGTATGGTAAGGTATGGTATGGTAAGGTATGGTAAGGTAAGACAAGGTATGGTAAGGTAAGGTATGGTATGGTATGGTAAGGTATGGTAAGGTAAGACAAGGTATGGTAAGACAAGGTATGGTAAGGTAAGACAAGGTATGGTAAGGTATGGCAAGGTAAGGTATAGTATGGTATGTATGGTAAGGTATGGTATGGTAAGGTATGGTATGGTAAGGTATTGTATGGTAAGGTATGGTATGGTAAGGTATGGTATGGTAAGGTATGGCAAGATAAGGTATGGTAATGTTTGGTATGGCAAGGTATGGTAAGATATGGTATGGTATGGTGAGGTATGGTATGGTAAGGTAAGGTATGGTAAGGTATGGTATGGTAAGGTAAGGTATGGTAAGGTATGGTATGGTAAGGTATAGTAAGGTATGGTATGGTATGGCAATGTATGGTGAGGTATGGTATGGTATGGTAAGGTATGGTATGGTAAGGTATAGTAAGGTATGGTATGGTAAGGTATGGTATGGTAAGGTATATAGTAAGGTATGGTATGGCAATGTATGGTGAGGTATGGTATGGTGAGGTAAGGTATGGTATGGTAAGGTATGGTATGGTAAGGTATAGTAAGGTATGGTATGGTAAGGTATGGTATGGTATGGTATGGTATGGTAAGGTATGGTATGGTAAGGTATGGTAAGGTAAGGTATAGTAAGGTATGGTATGGTAAGGTATGGTGCCCTCCGCCAATTAACTGTTAGCCAAGCAGATAAAAGTGAGTTGAGTTCAGATCCAGGTGATGGAGACAGGATCCCAGCATTGGAACCACACCTAGTATAGGTGGCCCCTTAAGTCCCGGGGCCCAAGGCCCCTTGTGCATATGGTTTGTCTGCCGCTGAACGGTTCATACTGTGGCCCCGTGAAAAAATTCCAAGGTGAAATTCTCAATATCAGCACCAACTATGGACCTCTTGATATGGCCCCCTCACATCCAACGTTGCCATTCACCATGCTTGGTGGCCAATGAAGGGAGAATTATGCATTGCACTGTGGGATTGGGGTCCGGGGTGGGGGGTGCCTAATTTCTGAGCTTGGGGTTCACATAATAGGGTGCAGGCAGGTATGCACAGGTAGGACTTCTGACAAGCTTGCTGTCACCCAGTTATGTCCTGTAGCATCCAATGACAGGTCCTCTTTGTGAGAACTAGGTATCCAAATGCCTCAAGGCGCAGTACTTGATGCTTTGGAAATACAAATGATCTGTAATTGTCACAATCAGCCACCAGGGGGTGACAGCGTACCAGTTGTGAACACCTTCAGAATATTTGGCATCGCTCCTTTCTCATATCCTACGGAAGCTGCCAAAAGAAATATCCTGTAGTGTGTAATAAGATGTGGACATGAGACGGAGACACGCATTGCATCCTGGGAATTGTAATGAGATAAATATAATTCCCCATACAAAAAAAACTAAGCTACAGAGCGGCTACATTGTTTCCCCAATCAGCATATTGGATACAATGTAACACACACCCGGCACAAAGCTTGTATTACCTCATCTGTATTTCCATATAAACTCCAACTCAGATATACTTATTATAGGAAGCGAAGCCCACAACAGCGGGCAATGCCCACTTAGCCCCGCCCCTTCCTTCCACAGCATCACTTCGGGTCTGCTGTAATACAATATGACTGCCCAGCTGTTGGGTCTGCCGCTGCACTTTGGAGGAGGCTGCCAAGGTGAGTAAACTTCAGAACTTTTTCTTCCTTTTAAAAGGAGAAGTATGGGGTCAGTGTTTTTCCCCATAGTTCTCCTTAGGGTAACGGGAGGACACAAACTAGCGTCCTCCCGTCACCCTAAGCTCAGTATATAGGGAGCTACAGCTCGCGGTATACTGAGACGCCGCAGCCGGAGCGGATGCCGACATGGACGTCGGGATCCGCCCAGCTGCGTGAGTGACAGCTGGCTCTGCCTATCTAGAGGCAGAGCCAGCTGTACCCGCCCCCTCCCACGTCCGTTCCGCCAGTCAGCGCTGGCGTATCAGAGCGGGGAGGGGGGAATCCAGCCCCTCCCCTGTCACGGCAGAGAGCATTGACAGGATCGAGAGGTGAGCGAACCTGGTATGTGTTCTCTCACCTCCCGATCTACTGAGCCGACCTGTGACAGTCTCATTGTCACAGGTCGGCTAGAACTATGAGGTGAGTGAAAAGCCCCCCCTCCCCCCCCTCATAGTTCTCCTTTAATGCTGGGCACACACCTTACAACCATCGCAAGACTTTTGTCT